TATAGAGTTAGATGTAAAATGTAGAACTATAAAATACCTGGAGAAAACCAGGGGAGAAACTCTGAGTTCTTGGGGAGCTCAGGCTTGATGAGCAAATTTAGATCTGACACAAATATTATGATCAATACAATTTTTAAAAATGATAAATTGTGCTTTGTCAAAATTAGAAACTTCTGCTTTGTGAAAGATCATGTTAAGAGAATAAAAAGACAAGCTATAGACTCAGAAAGTATTTGAAAAACCACATACATATTAAAGGACTCACATGTGGAATATATAAAGAACTCTCAAAACTCAACAGTAAAAAAAAAAGAGTGAAGAAAAACAAAAACTAGCCAGTTATAAAATGGATAAAAGCATAAATATATATTTCACCACAGAGGATATCCAGAAGGCACATGAAAACATACTCATCATTATTGGAACATCATCCCAGCAGAAAGAAAGACTGTGATGAGCATCATTACACATCTACCAGAACAGATAAAAGAAAAACAAAACAAAAAATCCTAAGAATATGAAATTTTGGTTTGAATGTGGAGGAACTAGATTCCTTGTACATTGCTGGTGGCTTTCTAAAACAACACTAGAAAAATAGTTTTGCTGTTTTCTTAATGTAAACATATGTTTATTACATTATCTAGAAATCACACTTATGGACTTTTTTTAAGAAATGGACACTTGTGTCTTTATAAACTCTAGTACAATATTATTCATAGTAGCATGATTTATACTAGAAAAAAAATTGAAAAAAGTAAAATTCACCATAATAGACTAATGATTAAACAAACTGTGGTAGATCCATGACATGCAAAACTGCTCGGTAATAAAAATTAAATAAAGGAGAAACTATTGATATATCTAATGCCTTAAATGGATCACAAGGAAATTATGCTGAGTGTAAAAGAAAAATCCAACATCAAAATATCACATATTCTGCAGTTCTATTTATATAACATTCTTAAGTTGTCAAAATAATTGAGATAGAAAATAGGTTACTGTTTGACAGGGTTTGGGGATGGTGTATGAGAAAGGGGTGGATGTGAATACTTGGGGTTGCATGAGAGAGACCATTGTGGTGATAGAACAGTTCCATGTCTTTATTGTGGTGGTGATTTCACAAAACTACATGTAATAAAATGATATAGAACTACACACACACATTGTACCAATGTCATTCTCAATTTCTCAGTTTCAATATTGTATTATAGTAACCTAAAATGCAACTGGGTGAAGAGAATACAAAATCTCTCTGTATTTTATATTTGTTTTGACTTCCTGTAAATCTATAATTATTTAAAAATGATGTACATGTAAAATATTAAATATTATATATAAATTGCATTAGCTTATCTATTAAGTTGAGGGTGTTGAGGAAATTGATATCAGTGTCTGGAAAATTGGATACTCATGATAAGCTGTGTCAAAATATTTTATAAAACCTTTGCCAGTGAGAATTTGGAAAGCAGATTATAAGCCTTTGAGGCTGACAGCTCTAGAGAAAATAACTGGAAATACAGGGTTAATGTATACCCTAGGCAGGATAATGATCCCCTCAAAGATGTTTGCATCCTAATCTCTGGAATCTGTGAATGCAGTTATCTTTCAAGGCAAAGGAGAATTAAGATTGCAGAATGCATTAGGATTACTAATCCACTGACCTAACAGGTAAAATAGGAAGATTATATTGGATGATATACGATTAAATTCAGTATAATCACAGTGATCCTTAAACGTCAAAGAGAGAGGCAGACAAGGAGAACCAGAAAGGTGCCACTGTGAGAAGGATTCAGCGGGGTGTTGCTGGCTTCAGAGACTGATGGGCGTGTGCATGAGCCGAGCTCAGTGAGCAGCGTTCTAAAAGCTGTAAACGGCAAGGAAATGGATTCTCCCCAGAGTTTTTAGAAAGGAATACAGCCCTGCCAACACTCAATTTTGGCCCAGTGAGACTCATTTTAGATTCGTGGCCTACGGACTGTTAGATAATAAATATATGCCGTTTTAAGCCACTATGTTTGTGGCAATTTGTTATAGCAGAAAGTAGTAAATGAATACAGTGAATACACTGCATTAATACACTGTATTAGCTACTATTGGCTGTGTCTGACAAGGTATTACAAGAAAGAGATGTGCTCAGAGAAAGCTTGGCTAGATTGCAAGTATAATGAAAGGAAATGGAAAGTCCAGCACGGTTTTTTTTTTTTCCTTCATAGGGGAGTTAATAACACCTGTTTACTCCAAATTTGAAAAGTAGCACTGTAAAAGTCCTTGAGCTGTGGAAACACATTAAGAAGATGCCTTCGTGAAAGATCAGGTAGAATGTGTGACCTTGGCATAAAAGCTTGAGACTCTCAAAGTAGTTGCCATTAGATTGAGGCAGTAAGTGCAATCATGGTGGTGAAAAAGAAAAAGAAAAAAAAAGATGAGTAAAATATGTAAACACTGACTCTCTATGCAGCTATTGGAATGTGGAGCTAATTCAAAACAAATCAGAAGTTAACTGTTTTTGCAGAAATTGTATTCCTAAAAATAAAAATAAAAACATAAAACATTAAGCCCAGATTAAATTGCCTTTGACCACAAAATAAGTAGAACAATCTTAAGCCACCAATTTTCTTTGAGTAGAAAACAACTTTCAAAATTTCTACGATCTTCTGGAATCACAAATAATCCAACTTATAATTCATACATGGCAAGAGAGGATAGACAAGAAAGAATGTTGTAGAAGGCAGGGACATGAATCAGAGAAGACACGAGGGCGTTCTTTCCAGAGAGCAAAATTAGAAATAATGAGAAAATTTATCCCCACAGTCATGGACAAGAACACCCCAAACTGTCTCTCTCACAATATTGCAGCATTGCGGATGCTGTGTCTCAGCTTTGCAGCCCTGTATTTGCATATGGCAGATGGAGGCAGGTAACTTCTTGCTTCTGTACATTGTCTAGCAAATCTAGATTTACACTCAGAAGAGTGTTTATTGAATTGGACTATGGCATCAGTCAGAGGAAAAAAACACTTATGTGAAGACACTGGGATCTGAGGTTGCTAGTAATACTTATTTTACTAATTTAGATTCATTAGCATAAGGTGATAGTTAAAGCCATGGAATTCGATTAAATAAAAAGGAGAAAAGAATTGAGAATAGACAGAAATCTCAAAATATTCAGAGTTGAAATAACTTTAGAGTTCTTCTCAGGCTCTTCATCATTATTCAATAGTATGGATGAGACTCCATATAACCCATGTAAGGTGAGGATTGCCAAAAGTCCATTGCACCCCATTCATATGAATTACAAGTAATAACCATCCCTAGAGTTACACAAAACAGCTGTCCTGGGCATAGGATGTAGACTAAGCTAAGGGAATGTTATTATGAAAAATAGAATGAAAATAAACAAACTAAAACAAACTGAAAACAACAGTATCATTATGTAAAATCACCCCAACACAGATTTATAATCAAATTTAAGGCTAATCAAAGCACAGAAAGAACTTAGAATACAAATTTCAAACAGTAAGCTGCTTTTATATCTTCTCTGCAGCATATTTTGCTCGAATCTTTTTCTTAATTTTAGTTTTTTTTAACATGTGTCTTTGTTTTTGCTTTGAGTGCTCCCGATTTTTAAAAAGAAATTTTCTTAAATGGGACAAAGTATATTTCCCTTCAGTGTACAATTTGCAACAACTGATTCCTTTGTATCTTTGCTACCTTCAAAATCCAGGCTACTTACAAACTTCCATCATTCACCAGTCTGTTCTTAGTTAAAATATTTTAAAATTATAAAATAGTAAATCAAGAAAAATATTTTATCATAGTAGAATCTGGAAAACTGAGTGTTCTAGATATGAAATGCAGTAGACAGAACAATCCACTCTCAATATATCTTTGTTTAAGCGTTGTGCATGTGTGTGTAAATATATACTTTGCTTTAGTTAAATTTTTCTAATTTAGGCTTAAACAGATAAAGAGTATTTCCCAATGGAATTACACCATTCTTTTCATTCATTAATCATGAATTGGAGAGTAAAATAAATTGACTGTATTATCAATCTTAAACACTGCATTATTTGTCTCCTCTACCTAACCTATATGCAGATACCTAATGTTCTTCCTTCTCTTTCCAATTATTTGTTCTACTAATATTCTGGTTAGCAGGAAAGTGGAAAATGTCCCAGCATATTTTATCCTTTGTTGTTTTTCTTAGAAAGGATTCTATAATAATAACAACATATCTTTGATGTATAGCAATTAAATGGTTATAACGATCATAGATAAACACAGCATTTCTTACATAGCTCTGAATTCCTTTTTTGTGTACACCATAAACTCGCATGATACCCATCCTTTAACTCCCCAAAAGCCCTTTCTCATTAAGGTTGGCGTTCACTTTCATTTTTATGAAAATGCCCCATGGCAGTGGCAGAAGATGAGAAATTATCTCACTGAAATGAAAACAGGGATTGAGAAAAGAAAAAAAAAATGGTTTGGTTGTATGTAATGACTGCAACTGGAGAAGGAAAATGAGCCTTTTGCAAGAACTTGCCTGATGGATGAGGTAAGTTTTCTCATTTACAAAATCGAGTGCAGAATGGAGAGCTATTAAATAACTCATAGAAACTTCAATTCAAGAAACGTGCTGAGTATTAATATGTACTAAGTGGTTTTATATGTGGCTCAATTTAGCCATCTTTGAAACCCTGCAAATGAACTGACAGTAGCCTTGTTTAAGAGATGAAGACATTGATGCTCACTGAAACCAAGTCATATACCCAGAGTCACAGGAGGCAAATGAGAGCCAAAACTGTGCATGCCTCCCCCGCCCCCACATATATATCCCATTGCTTTCTTAGAGTGGAACATTTTTATAGACATTTTTGGATTTGCGATAAGACTTGGGGTAAGACTGTGCTTGGACTATATGCCAGTCCTCTCTGGCATATAGTGTTAGCATACACATCTCTGGGTGGAAAAAAGAACTGTATTTTAAAGTCTACTTACTCCTGAATTGGGTAGGGTGGTTCCTGAACAAGGAAGAAAATGTGGATGCTACACAGTTTCCATGTGGTCTCTGTCCGCAATGGCTCCACCATGTTATATACTTCCTTCAAGACTATGCTGATGATGGACCATGTCTGCTGTACAAAATACTCAGTGTCTGGATGGTAAACCTTTAACAGAAGTTTTAAGAGCTGAAAGTGCTGGAAATAAAAAGTGCAATAATTTTAATGATGGGATAGAAATAAATCATGTACAGACTTCAAGAAATAGTATTCAAAAGTATGGTTCAAACTGCAGATTGTTCCCAGAGATCATGTTGGAGATTGTTAATGTCTGTTATTAAGAACTATTGATTACCTTTCAGAACACATATTGGTTTTTGTGTTTCATTTGGTTGGGTTTCTGTAACATCGGTGTCAGGCTATTTTAAATATTGTGCAAGTGACAGTAGTCAGTGAGTAATGAAGGATGATCCTTTTATCCCTTTCTGTTGTTCACATGATTAGTATTAAGACAGAATGCTGTGCAGTGAGACTGCCACCAACCCAGAAAAGCCTAGTCAGTCCTTTATTGTTACCTGTGACAAGGTTGTTTATTGGTGAAAAACGTTTCCCTGACCATTTTATATAATACATAAATTTGATTTTCTGAGTAATGCATGCCATATATTTGTATCTCACTACTTCTGTATAATAATTATATTTCTGAAAATGTATTTTTAAAATAATTGAGAAATAATAATTTACTTAATTTAAACCTTAGCAGATTATTTTGTGGATATTGAGAAAGTAATTCTAAAGTGTATTGAGACGGGCAAAAGATCCAGAATAGTCAGCACAGTATTAAAGAAGAAAGTGGAAGGATTGCCACTAACGGACTTCGAGTCTTACTGTAAAGCTGTGAGAATAAAAACAGTAAGGAAATGGTGAAAGAATACAAAAACAGATGAATGAAAAGAATAGAGAGCCTGTGAACAAGCCTACTGAACTATAGTCAACTGATCTTTGTTGAAGGAGCAAGGACATGTCCTTCCAACAAGTGGTGCTAAGGAAAACTGGACATCCACATGCAAAATGACGAATCAAGACACTGACATTACACATTTCACAAAAAGTAACCCAAAAATTGATCATACGCCCATCACAAACCAGAAAATTTCTGGAAGAAAACAAGAAAACCTATGCTAGTTTGAGTGTCACGGACAGTTAGTAGATACAACACCAAAAGCAAGATCCATGAAAAAAAGTAAGTGTGACAATTAAAATTAAAAAGTTACTCATCCAAGAAAGGCACTGTGGAGAGAAAAAAATGACAAATCCCATACTTGAAGAAAAAGATTTTTAGAAAACATCTATTCAATAAAGGACTTGTAGATAATATGTACAAGAAACTCTTTTTTTCTGTATTTTTTAAATTATCCATTAAGTTCTGGGGTACATGTGCAGAACGTGCAGATTTGTTACATAGGTATACACGTGCAATGGTGGTTTGACAGTCTGCAACTATCCCCTCATCATCTACATTAGGCATTTCTCCTAATGTTAGTCCTCCCCATTCCCCCAGCTCACTGCCATCCCTCCCCTACCCCTCCACCCACTGACAAGCTTCGATGTGTGATGCTCCTCTCCCTGTGTCCATATATTCTCACTGTTCAACACTCACTCACGAGTGAGAACATGCGGTGTTTGGTTTTCTGTTCTTGTGTTAGTTTGCTGAGAATGATGGTTTCCAACTTCATTCATGTTCCTGCAAAGGACATGAACTCATCCTTTTATATGGCTGTGTAGTATTCCATGGTGTATATATGCCACATTTTCTTTATCTAGTCTATCTTTTATGGGCATTTGGGTTGGTTCCAAGTCTTTGCTATTGTGAACAGTGTGGCAATAAACATACATATGTGTGCATGTGTCTTTATACCTGAATGTTTTATAATCCTTTGGTTATATACCCAGTAATGGGAATGCTGGGTCAAATGGTATTTCTATTTCTAGATCCTTGAGGAGTCACCACACTCTTTCACAATGATTGAATTAATTTACACTCCCACCAACAGTGTAAAAGCATTCCTATTTCTCCACATCCTCTCTGCTGTCTCCTGATTTTTTAATAATTGCCATTCTAACTGGTGTGAGATGATATCTCAATGTGGTTTTGATTTGCATTTCTATAATGACCAGTGATGGTGAGTTTTTAAAACTAAACAATAAGCGATCAAACGACCCAATTTAAAAACAGACAAAGGATCTGAACAGATACCACAGAAGATATGCAAATGGTTAAAAAAGTGTATGAAAAGATGTTCATCATCATGCATCATTAAATAAATACAAATTAAAACAATAATGAGATGCCAGCACACCACTATCACAATGGCTAAAATCCAAAATACTGAGACTACCAATTCTGTCAAGGATATATAGCAACCTGAATTCTCTTTCATTGATGGTGGGAATGCAAAATGATTCAGCCTCTTTGAAGACAGTTTTTCAGTTTCTTACAAACTCTTACCATATGATTTATTGATTGTACTCCTTGGTATTCATCAAAATTAGTTTAAAACTTATGTCTACACAAAAACCTGCATGTAAATATTTGTAGCAACTTTGTTCACAATTACCAAAACTTGAAAGCAACCAAGATATCTTTCTGTAGGTTCTTGAATAAACAATATATAGTCCATCTATACAAAAGGATATTATTCAGTGCTAAAAATAAATGAACTATCAAAACACAAAAGACATGAAGAAACCTTATATGCATATTGCTAAGTGAAAGAATCCAGTTTGAAGTGGCTACAGGGAATACAAATTGAACTGCATGACATTCTGGAAAAGACAAACCTATAGGGAAAGTGAAAAGATCAATAGTTGAAAGGGCTACAGAGAGGAAAAGTAAGGATGAATAAGTGTATCACAGGGGAATTTCAGAATAATACCAAAACTATTCTGTATAATAATATAATGGTGATACATGGCATTGTGCATTTGGTCAAAACCATATAACCAGACAGTACAATCTTTCTTCAAACTTAAAAGTGCTCTAAAAAATAATTTATTTAATAAAAAATTACTGAACCTGAATGAGTTATTGAGTTCTTATTATGGTTGTGTTAAAATAATGTGGTTTATAAATGGCAGTTTTTTAATAGCATCTGTTTTGCAAGACACATCAATAGCTAAAGTCTTAATTATATATCATTTGTATTGAAGGTAATAGATACATCAATGAATACTTAAATATATTAATTTTTTTATTATTTAGTGTTTTTTAAAGTTATAAGCTCCATGTTTACATAAATTTTAATTTATGATCAAAATGAAAGAAATTGATTTTTTAGTTTGATCCTTAGAGTATGAATTGGCACACCACATCAAATAATTTTCACTGTAATCTTGCAGATTTCAATGATTTTAGTGGTAATGGTTGATAACATATTAGATCCATCCTTTGTGAAAGCATGCATTTGTCAATGTATTTTATTACCACCTTAAAATAGAAACCATCGGCTTTTTGAGGAGTTCTATGTGGTATTCAATAAGAGAGTATTGCTGCAAAGATCTGATTTTCATAACAAAACTGAAATAAATGCAAAAGATACTCATTTACTTATTAAAAAGTCAGCATTTAAGCAAGTATTAAGCTTAGTCAATCAAAGTAAATATAAATCAGAAAAAGAAAGATGGGAAAGTCCTTGATGATTAGCCTTTTATTAAGGAGGACGCAACAAAGGACAAAAAATAGTAAAGGGGAACAGAACACCGTAGTGAAGTGTCACAAAAAAGCCAACCAGGTCACAAAACTGCCGAAGATGTACTGGGAGAATTAAGAGGCAAAAATTAGTACTTGACATTGTCATAATAGAAAGTAGGAACTAAATAAATCAGAATTTAGGCCTTGTTAACTTATGCATTTTAAATTAATTGTTGGTAAGTAATTGATATTTTACGAAAATACATTTTGTTACACTTTTATAAAGCTACTTACTCTTTCAAAATAAAATTTCTGACTCTATTTCTTTTAATCAAAGCCAATGTTAATCACCATATAGGCATACTCTGAGAATAAAAATCATCACAGTCATGTGAAAGTAATCTTGGATACTGATGAAATTTGAGTTAAAAAAAGGCAGCAATTTGGCAACTTAGGAATGAAAGGGGTGATGATGCCTGCGAAGAAAAAGCAGCAAGCAGATTTGTCACCATTTGCGTGTAAGGTAGTTTAATTAAGTGACTTCATCATACCCTAGATGGTGATCAAGCAGGGCCAAACCAAAAAGTAGGGTAGGTTCTCAGTTCACTCAGAAATGTCGGTTATAGCTTGAAGGACTCTGAATAAGAAGAAATCGAAAGACAATCTGTGTGTCAAAATAATCACATATATGGCTAGAGTTGATCAGAATCAACATATCCAGAAAGCAAACGAATCATCCTAAATGGGAATTTATGAATCAGAATCAGAGCAAAAGGAAACAGAGCATTTTAATGAAAAATAGTAATAAAAAGAGTAGCTTTCAGTGATTGACCACACATGCTGTACTATTCTTTTTGTATTTATGTTCTCCAAACTTATTGGCAATTCTGTGAGATAGAAATGTATTTCCACATTTGAGTTTAAAGAATAGAGCAAACAAACCAAGCTTTCTACTTCTAAAGCTAATACACCTTAGGATAATTTTCATGATAGTCCACACCTCTCTATTCTATGTTAATTAGGTTGGACATTCTGTCTAAATATGTTAATATCTCTGAGATGGAACAATCAGAGGAGAAAGACTCAAGTGTGCTAGTGACTACTGTGCTAAGGGTAGAGCTTCCATTTTGTAAAATGAAACCATTGGTATTTTTGCTTTAACTTAGTTTATTCACTTTGGGCAATCTTCTCTGAGATAATACTTTCTTGGCTCATGATACATTTTTACTTGATCTCCCATTTAGTTGGTTGGCTAATCATCAGACAGATTTCAATCAGCCACCAACTGGTGAGAGAACTTAATGTTCTTTCATTCATCCAGTTCTTCCAGCTCATTAAAACCAGTTCCTGGTATTCAATTTCCCATCTGAAAGAAGTAGTATTGTATATATTTTCCTAACTGGACACTGGCTAATACAAATGCAATACAATAAATATCATGTGAGGTGAGAGCACAAATTTAAGAGGATCCAGTGCAACCTGGGGAGGACCAGAAAGGTTTTGGAATGAACATGACGCTAGAGCTGATTCTCGAAGGCTGAAAGAAATAATCTAGGGGAGAAGGTATGGGAAAAAGAAGTCTATAGAGCAGACTAAAACAAAAACAGCTCAGCAAAGTAGGAACTGAATCAGTTCTTTCATCTCTAATTCTACAAAATACATTTATAAGATTGTTAACTGTGAACCATTTTGACTGTCAAAAACACGAAGTTTTTTCTTATGTTATCAATAGCTATATCCTCACTAGAAAGTGTTTCTTTCATCCTGCTGTTATTTTATTCATTACCGTTACTGTCAAATAATAGAAGGCTCTTTTTGATTTAAATACTAGGAAAACATGATGCATTAATATAACTTTCCTCAGGGCATGTCTCTACAAATTGTCTCTATTCAAAAGTATTAGCATTGGGGTTGTGAGAAAAGGAAGCTGTCAATCTGAAATAAAGGAAATGATTTAAACTGATAATACGAATGGATAATTTATAACATGCCTTTTCTAGGGAAAAAATTATAGAAACTAGATATTTAATATTGCCTAGTGTTTTTCTCAAAATATCTTTGCATTTTTTCCATCATATCTTAATATGTTTCTTGGGGAATTATACATTGATTTTAATTTTAAAAGCTTGAATATAAATATCACAGTCTTCAAACTTTTTGCCTGATTAATTTGACCAGGAATAAAATGTGTAAACTTAAATATCAATTGACTCCAATCTTCATTTTAAAGATGATGATTTCCTGGTCCACCCATAATGTGTCACAGCGAGGACACTTTCCTATGTATATTCACAGTAGAGGGTAGCTTTTCTATCGACAACAGCATCAAAGTTTATCTTACAGGATCCCTTGCATGTGAGATACATAGAACATACAGTATCTAAACTGCCATGGATGCAGGACTTACCTTAATCACTTTTGCCAGCTGGAAACACCCAGCTGACAATGTTCTTGCCCCACCTTGACCCAAGGCTTTGGGGCTGGCTCAGCCCTGCCAACATTTCTGTCACATGGGGTGGCTACCATCTGCCGGTGGAGGGCAGAGGGCACGTGTTACAGCCTTCTCTGTACACAAGTTCAGTGGGTGCTGAGCGCTTGGCCCACATGCAAGAAGCATGATGATATGCTGATGATCAAAGAGCGAGGAGGGTGGAGAAAAATTTTATTGAGCAATAGACCAGCTCTCAGGGGAGAGGGGACTCAGGGGTGGTGTCCCACCCCCATAATCAGGTGGTTTCTCCCCCAGGGTGGCTGAATCTGGGTTTTTTACAGGCACAGGATGGGGAGGGGCAAGCTGGTGGTAGTCTTGGAAAAAGCAACATTTGATTGGTTAAAAAGCATTATTCAGAAAGAACAAATCAGGAAAGGATAAGAAAACAGGAATGGAATTTCTTACTCTGGCTTGTGTTTTCATCAGGAATCAGCAATCTGGTATTTCAGTATTTACGATGTTTTTGGCTTGAAGATAGGGTTTCACCAGGGAACTGCTCCTATCTGCCTACGCAGTTGTCTGCCTCCTGCCAATGTCATTTTTCCCCTATGAAGACATATATCTAACTCCCATTAGGATAAGGATTTTGATTGCTCTTAATTGCTTTCTGTGGACAGGTGAGCTGTTTTAGAAAGAGGGCGGTCAGATCTCTCTGAGATGCCTATCTAATGGTCTCTGGTAAAAGGGAGCCACCATCAGAGGCTCCAGTTGCAGGACCATTTGGAGTTTGATGGCCTGAAAGCAAGAGACGACAAGCCAGGTTATTAGAAGACATGTATCAAAATGAAACAAGGAAGTAAAGACAGCTCAAAAATCCTGAGGCTGCTGACATGTCCAGATAACTGGTAAATATAGTAATGCCTGCTAAGAGGTAGTCTCAGATGAAGATGAGAAACTTGTTGGGAACTGGAATAAAGGTGACTCTTGCTATGCAAAGAGACTGGTGGCATTTTGCTCCTGTTCTGCAAATCCATGAACCTTTGAACTTGAAAAAGATGATTTAGGGTATCAGGCAGAAGAAATTTTTAAGCAGCAAAGTGTTCAAGAGGAAGCAGAGCATAAAAGTTTGAAAAATGTGCAGCCTGACGATACAGCTGAAAAGAAAATCCAGTTTTCTAGGGAGAAATTCAACCTAGCTGCAGAAATTTGTATAAATAATGAGGACCCAAATGTCAATCACCAAGACAATGGGGAAAATGTCTCCAGGGCATGTCAGAGAGCTTCATAGCAACCACTCCCATCACAGGCCTAGGAAGGCAAAATGGTTTTCTGTGCTGGGCCCAGACCAACCCTACCTCTCCACTGCTCTAGGCAACCTTAAGACATTGTACCCTATGCCCCAGCTGCTTCAAGTCTAGCTGTGGCTAAAAGGGGCCAAAAAACAGGCTATTACTTCAGAGGGTGCAAGCCCCAAGCCCTGGTGGCTTCATGTGGTGTTGAGTCTGCAGGTGCACTGAGGTCAAGAATTGAGATTTGGAACCCTCTTCCTAGATTTCAGAGTATGTATGGAAACACCTAGACATCCAGGAAGAGGTTTGCAGCAGGGATAGAGCCTTTACCAAGAGTCTCTGCTAGGGCAGTGCAGAAGGGAAATGTGGCTTTGGAGTCCCCACACAGAGTCTCCACTGAGGCACTGCCTATGGAGCTATGAGAGGAGGGTTACCATACTCCATATCCCACAATGGTAGATCCACTGACAACTTGCATGGTGCCCCTGGATAAGCTGCACGCACTCAATGCTAGCCCATGAAAGCACCAGGGAGCAGGTTATACCCTGCAAAGCCACAGAGGCAGAGCTTCTCAAGGCCATGAAAGTCCACCTCCTGCATCATCATTACCTGGATATGAGACATGGAGTCAAAGGAGATCATTCTGAAGCTTTAAGATTTGGCTGCCTCACTGAATTTCTGACTTCCATGGGGCCTATAGCCCCTTTATTTTGGCAAATTTCTCCCATATGAAACGGGTGTATTTACTCAATGCCTATACCTCCATTGTATCTAGGAAGTAACTATCTTGCTTTTGATTTTATAGGCTCAATGGTGGAAGGGAATTGTCTTGTCTCAGGCTAGACTTTGGGCTTGGACTTTGGGTTAATGCTGGACTGAGTTGTGTCTTTGGGAGACTATTGCAAGGGCATGATTGTCTTTTGAATTGTGAGGACATGAGATTTGGTAGGTGCCAGGGTTAGAATGATGTTGTTAGGCTCTACATTCCCACTCAAATCTCACCTTGAATTGTAATAATCCCTATGTGTCAAGGGTAGGGCCAGGTGAGGATAATTTAATCATGGGAGCAGTTTCTCTCATGTTATTCTCGTGATAGTGAGCGAGTTCTACGAGATCTGATGGCTTTTACAAGGGGCTTTCCCTTTCACTCAGTGCTCATTCTCTCTACTGATGCCCAGTGAAGAAATGCCTTCTGCCATGATTGTAAGTTTCCTGAAGCCTTTTCAGCAATACAGAACCATGGGTCAATTAAATCTCTTCCTTCGTAAACTACCCAGTTTTGGGTATGGCTTTATTAGAAGCTTGAGAACAGACTAATTCACAGGGTTCATCTAAAATACGACAAAAATTTAAACAACTAATGACACTGGAATGTAATGACAAGTGTTTATGTTTTGAAACATAAGGCTTCTCTCTCAAGTCTTTATTTAAAAAAACAAATTACTGCAGAACTAAGTTGTTAATAAAATAAGCTTTATTCTTGTGCTGAACCTGATTACTTGCATAAAGTGCAGCAAGAATAATTATTTTCACAAAGACTTTTCTAAATTGGCTTTGAGAGAACGCTGTTTCACAAGGAATCTCAGATGAGACCTTACAAAGCCAAGCCCAGCCATGTGTTTGTCCCCTCAAATATCTGTGAGTTGGGAAAATTCCTCTCTTCCTGAGGTCCTAAGATAGCTTGGGGCCCCGGGCCTGTTAGAAAGTGATACTCTTTATTCATCACAGGTCAGGAACCTTGTATAGGGACTTTGTACAGACAAGGCATAAGGCCAGTTGCCCCAAGAGATTTATATTGTCTCTGTAAATTAAGATTGATTCACTAAAGGAAAGCACACTATTCTAGTCAATTCCTTGATAAAACACCAGTTTCTCCAATTGTGTCCTGGTGCAAAGAAAATGGATTTTTTTACATTTATGCAAATAATTATATTGCCATAAGTTAAGAATACTCACAAATAGTTTCCAAATTCTGGAGAAACCATGCAGAGAGAAACAAATATGCTTCAAAATTTTGTTCACAGGAGTTTAATTTATCCAATGTTAAAAGTTGTAGATGGCTCAAAATTTCCTTGACTCTGAAAAACGAAACAAAGGTCAACAATGTTTTAAGCAAAAAGTTAAAAATGATTACATCAGTTTTCTATTTAGTTCCATTCCAGTTACTTTTGTTCTGCTTGATATTTATAAACCTCTCAGCTCTTCATGAGTTCTGCACATTTTTCCTGAATTACATTATCACAATCTCCAAAGTTATCAGAAACCTGCATTTGAAAGCACCTGCTGAAGTCTCATAGCTGATTATAAACCATCTTTTGTAAAGGATTGAAGCAAGACAACAACTGTCTGTGAGTTGCAGAATGTCCAGCAGAGTTACCATCAAAAACATGATTGACAAAGAAATTTGATTACTTCTGTGGTTTACAATAACTCAACATAATAACCTATATTATGATTGGTAGCATATACTCAGACATTAGAATTTTATAAATACCATACAATTTTAGAACATATATTAATATTATATACTAAAATATATCTTGAAGAAGATTCAACCTTATTTTTGGAACATGTATTAATATTGTTTACTGAAATATAACTTGAAAAAGATTAAACCTTATTTTTATTTTGGAAATCCCATGTAACTAAGCATGTGAAATAGTCCTGTTTACCTCCCTTTTGTATGATCCAGGGGCCTCCATAGTATTCAAAAGTTAAGGTCCATAAAAAACAACTTTTCAAGCTGAAGTTTGATTTGGGGAAGGCTATTAAATATGTTAGAGATTTAAAACACTTGAAATTATTAAATAAAATTGCAGATTCCCTTAAGTTTTTTATTTGCCAAAATTATGACTCAAAAATTTTAAAACAAGGCAAAAACCTTTACTCCTTAAGAGGGAAGACTTAATTTTCCAAACAATTTGTTTCTTGTTTTCTTCTTTTTGGTCGTTTATTCACAGGCTAACCTAAAAATTTTATTATCCTTTACTCCTACATGAAAGTCTTGTTCAAAAGAGAATAAGCCAAATTTCATTCTTGCATTAGTCTACTATCTCTTAACCCCAATCTTTAAAATGAAATCTTATAGATAATAAGATTATTATCCAACCTTAATCAGTTTGACCATGAGGTGAGATTCCTATAAACCTTATATAACCCTTTACAAATTTTTGTTGAAGAACAGATCAGTGCCTTAAAAAAACCTTGTGGTGCTTTTATTTCAATGCTCAATTTACAGAAAAGCCATATAATAATCTTTTGAATCTAGTCAATATGTTCTGACACGGAATTTACTAAGATTAATTTTTACAAACATCTTATGACTTGTTTAAATTTTCAGCTTTATCTTATCTAAAACAATAATTTAACCTTCTAACAAGGCAAAAATTTATATTCTCATGCATTTTTATAATACTTTACTAAAAACACATTTTACTTTTCTTATATACCTTGAATGTAAATTTATTTTCAGTAGTCTCAGTATAACAATTATATGTTATAATGATAACTCTTAGCAATTTTTGATTTTAATTTTAAAACTGGTAAGCTATTTTAATTATGTACCAGGTGCACATAAGGTTTTACTCTTTCCAGCATAGTTGGGGATGTGGTTGGTTTCATATGTCCCCAGGCCTTACCAAACTGTAAAACAGGCAAATTGAACAATTTTCAAAAGTCAAAATGCTACTTTGTTTGTTATTTTATTATTTAAAGCATGCAGCAAACCTAATACCGGAACATAATTCAGATCACAAGTTTACATTTTGAAACATTTGTATTTTGCCAATAATCTTTAAAACAGTTTTTATTTCTAAAATAGTAAAGTCATGTGAACTAAAAGACATTACAGCTTGCTTTTTTTAAAAAAAAATCTTTGATCTAAGCACTTCTTTTTCTTTATGGCAATTAATTAGATCTCTTTCATATATAAACATCACACACATAAAACATACATGCAGACAGAAAGAAGATGATCCAGCAGTTGTAAAATTTTTATTTGCCAATCTCTGAACTAAGTTATTGTCCTTATGGTAGAGCCCTTCAAGAAATAGGGCTAGGGAAATGTGCAGATTTTAGGGTTTAATAGGCAGGTAGGTATAGCTGGAAGACAAAAACAGATTTTTAGAGGGATCTATCTGTAAGGCCGGTTGCCTTGCCAGGAGTCAAATGGACACATTCATCACTCTCCATGCCTGATAACTGTGCCATCACCTGAGCTCATTATCTGGCCTTGCCACATGGGTTTCCCTGCACCTGCCTCTGCATACCATGCCCAAGCCCACACTCAGCACTAAATTATGCATCCAACCTCCAGCCTGTTGTTAAAAACCCTGCAGAAAAATTTTTAAAGAAGCCCCACCATACCGTGCCCAACAGCAGCCTGCCCTGTACGCCCCTGTACCCAAGGTCCCGCCTGCCTACCAATAGCAGCTAGTTTCATGTACTTCCTACTTTAACTCCATATACTTCCTGCTCCTCAACAGCCAATAGAAATGCCTTCTCTTTGTTTCCCCAGTAGTCAATCAAGGCCCACTTACCCAAGGTCCCGCCCGCCTACCAATGGCAGCTAGTTTCATGTACTTCCTACTTTAACTTGATGTACTTCCTGCTTCTCAACAGCCAATAGAAATGCCTTCTTTTTGTTTCCCCAATACCCAATCAATTGCCTGCCCTCCCCATAAAACCCCACACCCTGAACAGCCAGGTGCGACTTCTCTGGCCCTGCCCTGGACCACAGGACTTTGCCCGGGAGCTGAGTAAATTAGCTTCTCACTTTGTTTTACTTGCCTCAGTTTCCTCATTTTACCTCGACAATAAATCTTACACTATCTACTTTTAATTATTGGGGTTCCATGAGAAAAACATATTTTTGTTTTTGTTTTTTTCCAAAATGGGATCTTTGGTTCTTTGTTTCTCTCAAGCAATCCCAAGCTATCAGAAGTTATCTTAGGGCCTCTCATGCATATGTTAATAAAAGTGAAGAAAGATAACTCAGTTGATTGAGAAGAAAAAAAAACCCTTTCTGCAAAACAAGGTCTAAGAAAAATTAAAAAAAAAATCATAAAGGCCTTTTAAATATACCTATAGCTTGGATATCCATTTTAAATTAAGCTGACTTTTAAACATAGCACTCTTTAAAAAAATCATTTAAAATCCTTTATTACATGACTTTAGCCATGCCAAGTGGTCAATATTTCTGGCTTTTGAACTTTAACAAAAATAACCTCACAGGTGAAACCAACAAGCATTAACTAAGGTTATGATTTAACTGTGAGTGTAGGAAGTATTTTCAAAGGGGTGACAAGCAGTTTTCCAATCTCTAGAATCTTAATGGTAGTTCACAGAAAGACTTAAGAAAGAAATTTAGAAGTCATTCATGGAAGGGAAAAGTATCAGCAAATGCCACACAAATATTAACCAGAAAGTAGTCATTCCCTAAGCCAGGGTTGAACCCCGGCTGCCATTGTAAAACAGCAGAGTCCAGAAGCAAGAACTGTCACATGGCTACAAGGTCAAGCTCCCAAAGATGTAAAACCACCAGTTTGTTTATATTCTTTCCTCAGAGATCTGTAGCAAAGTTGTTACTGACCAGTTTGCTAAGCTGGCTTGAACAGTAAGCTTACGTGGTCCTAGGCCCTCATTCTGTCCTAATGTACCCTTTTTTCTGATAGAACTATATAGAAAGAAACACAAAGCATACCAGATTCACTACAGCATAAGACTAGCCTCACAAATCCTTTTTTCCATTAATCAAAACTTTACAGAGGATATGAACAGTGATATTCTACCATTCCTACAACCTGTTTGCACAGAGAGAGGCTAGAAGTCAAACTGGTAAGAGCTTTTACCTTTTGCCTATACATCAGGCTCCTGGGTTTCCTTCCCCTGAGCTATGGAGCCCTTTCAACCCTGGAGTCCTGTGAAGGAGAAACAGACAAAGATGTTTTATTTGCAGACTGTAAAGGTTGTCCCTCCTCAAGAGATTTCCTTAGTTAGATCTGTAATTTCTTCCTGATTCATTTTTAAGCCAAACAGTTTAAGGTTTGGGGATATTAAATTTTTCTCAGTTTGGGGACTGCATCCAAGGGGAGTATCCTGTGGTATAGAGACACAATTACTCATCCACAAAGAGAGAGTAGAGAAGGAAACAGGAAACATTGGGTATCGTTTTCCCATAGGTGCCCCAGTGACTCAGGATGCATTCAAGAGAAATACAGATCGATGATTGGTACCCATATGGAAAGAGGGGAAAATAATGTCCCTTTGTTCATTTATCTTCTTAGTGAATACACAGGGTAAGTAAGAGAAAAAAAAGCATTCCCGTTTTTTCTTCTGTCCTTATATTTCCAAGTCCTGGCAACCTTGGTAGATACCAGTTGTGGGTGCCAATATGGTTTTCACTCATAGGGAGGCCAACAGGAGGAATCATCTACACTCATCCATGCACTGGCCTATCCTCCCTGCTGTCAGTAGACTTTGAGTTCCCTAGATTACATCTATGCCATGTAAATGAGCATGATCTCCATCCATGAAATGCAGTTGCGGGGGGGCACTAATCAAGTTGAAGTAGTCACACTCACGTACACTGTGCCCATTGACTTTTGTTGTCATCTGCCTCTGAATCACTCAAATCCTGTTTTCATATCTAGGGTTTCAATGGAGTTTGGGACAAAAAGGTGCCTCAGAAGGTTGTGTGGACTCACTAAGTCTCAAGTGGCCCTCGCCAGACTGCATTAAGCAGCTGGGAGGGCTGCTCATTTGCTGATTTCTTATCATAAGCCAAATGCTAATCAGAAGCTGTGGAACTGAATTCTCCTCAAACAAGGGAGAGAACAGGGAGTCCCTGAGAATTTGGGACCTGGCCTGGGAAGATGTCTTCCAAAAGAAAAAATATATATATAGAAAATGTTTTTGTATTCACAGGTCAGTGAAGAAAAGAAAAAAAAAATCAGCTTAAATGCAGGGAAGGGAATATGCCTGGGGAAAAAGCTTCTGGCTCTTATGCAAATTGGTCCCTTCAACGTGGGGTGGGGGGAACCCTTTTAATCAGTGTCTCCTCCCTGCTTCTGAGAACAGATG